TCTACCTTAGGCCTAGATACGATTCTAAACAAGCTCTATGTCTAGAAGAATGTTCATTTACAACCATAACTCAAGCATCAAATGTCTTTGGTTGAATATTATGAAAGTAATCATTGGGAATAGATCTATTAGCCATCTTAACACCTTTAACAACAAGTGTCCCTGGTAAAGACTGCTAAAAGCTTTAGAGAGTTGATTCAAACATTTCATCGAACACTTTGTGAGTGGGAAATGTCTAGAGATCAACCTTTGAGTGATCAGTTCAAAAGAGGCATTATGGTTACTCTAATAAGCAAGGAACAAGAGAAATCTAACACTAAAACATCCTAGATCTAACCTAATCACCCTTAATCTCCCTAACCCATGAATTCAAAAGGTGATTACTCACTAATCTCCATGATTCCTCTTAAACCCATATTGGATTTCAGATTAATCATGTAAAGAAATAGATAAGAAATCAACAAGAACACAATATGAAAACAATGAAATCTCAATCAAAAGAAGTTTTCTTCAAGAACAAAAGAAAATCTGCCTCTGGTGGCTTACAACGTAGTTTTAATTAGGTTTCTGAAACTCAAAACATAAAAGACGAAAATTGCAAAAAGGTCCTCAAAGTCTTATTTTCGCCACATAAAAGACGCACAGCGGGGTCACAACCCCGCTGCCAAGACCCCGCTCCGGAGCTCCTTTTTCTCACGATAAATGCGTGCGGCCCTCCTACCCCACTGCGTGGTCCACTGTGGTCTGGGCCGACCCCCTGACTCCGCTGCATGACCCCGCTCCGGCTGGTGTTTCTTGCAGCGACCTCTTGACTCCGCTGTGGCTGCTACGGCTCGCCAAATGACACCTTTGCACTTTCTTTTGGCACATAATTGATCCCAAACACCTCCAAGGACTCCATAGCATGTTCCACCACCTGATAAAGACAAATGAATGCAAAATGCAACCTAAGAGTGCCTAAATCTAATCTATATGCTCAACATGAACAAGAATGCAAGGTTAAAACCAAGTAAATATGCAACATATCATAACGCACGAAGAAGAAAACAATGAAAACTTTACCTGATTGCTCATCTTCTCGAGATCGGAGGAAAGGCATTTAAGGTATGAGGCGTGATTCTCAACAGAGAAGGAGCTTAAATTTATACCCGAGCCAATAACCCTGGACCGGTCCCAGAAAAAAGAAAAGAAAAGACGTATCTCCATAAAAGTAGAAAATCCAGAAAAAAAAAGGAAAGGAAAGAGAGAATATGAGAGATTTCCCATTTTTCCACTCCGGCGAAAAGAAAAATATCGGCTGGTCAAAAAGGCATCCCAAGATTAGCACGAGCGGCTAGGCTTTCCCCTACCCCTTCATTCAAAAAATACGCCAAAAGGCCAAAGCCTTTCCCACTTGTTCCGTTTCAAGCCACCCGACAACCGGAAAGACAAGCGCATTTTCGATCAAAAATCATACACCAGATCACAACTTTGCGCAACCAATTCCAAGCATGCCCAGGCCCTGAAGATATCTACTGAATGCCGTTTTACCAAGGGGAAAGTAACTCACTCCAGGCCCCAAGCATGGTTCTGACCTAATCGGGACCTGGAAGACAGAGCGTCTAGAGAGGTGCCTTACTTAAGGGGAATCCGTTGAGATCAAACGACTTTGGTCAACCTAGACACATTTTATCCCTCGATTCCAATGATGAAATCGAGGAATAAGGGCCAAACTGTTGGGAAAAATATCCAGGCACTAGATTCCTCCAGCTTCCGGGCTAGGCACCGTCCCCGAAACCCCTCCTTCGAGGGGACCCAGGGCCCGAACCATGCATTCAGGTTCCCAGGGCCCCACCCGTGCTCCGAAACCAACCCCTGGGTAAAATGGAAGTTCTCCATCTAAGGGAATTCTTCTATATTTGTCAATATGGAAGGGTTTAACCTAATGCAAGCCGACATCAACATCTATAAAAGGGGAGCCCAAACCCTAGAATAAGGGATCGACACTTTAGAGATTGAGAGTCTAGAACTAGGCGGCTAGAATTAAGGTTCTAACACCAAAACATTGTAGTCCCTATTCGATTAATCAATAAAACGTCTCCTTCTCTATTGTTTCTTTTTGTTCATACTTAAACCTCTAGTGTTCCGTAGTACTAAAACGACTCTACACAAAAATACCATAACATCTATCACGAAGCACAGAGGAATCAATTACTACCCCGAGAAGCTCTGGAGAGCAGAGTGAGAAAGAACTGATAAAGTTGTATCTGCGAGTAAAGGAAGATCTAAGGAAGCCATGGTAATAGTGTTAGTTTTCAACCGTCTTGGGAGTCAAGAGGATGTGCAGAAAGTAGAAGGTAGTAGAGGGAGAAGCTCAGGTAGAAGTTTGGAAGATGACTTGAGGACCAGGCTCAGTGGTGGTTCGCAGGAAGAGAAATTGGATGCCAAGTCGAGCAAAGGTAGTACAAGCCCACCTACAATCTTTGAGAGGTTAGGAGGCCAGCTACAATCAACTCCAAGAGGGGAAAATAATGCAGAGTCTATCGCCTCCAAGAGAAGATGCTTGAGTACTAGCGATCATAGAAGATCAAAAAAGGCACAAACAAACTCCCAAGAGAAGAAGGAGGTCTTTCCATCAGTTTTCCTTAGACTGAGAGGGACTGTCTCAGCGTCGGGAGGAAGTGGCAAAGAAACACATGATCATTCTATTCCAGTAGCAGTGAGAACTCCTATTCATTCTGCTCAAGTAGCAGTGAAATTCCCAGCCAATTGTGTCTTTCGGATATCATTGGAAAGTGGATCAAATTTGAAAGAAGGGTTGATGGGTAATACCAACCCTTCGAGATCAATATGAGGATATTGAGCTGGAACTGTTAGAAGTTTGGGAATACCCCTACAGCTCGACATCTACAAGGAATACATGGTCAGTATTTTCGTGAGATAATATTCCTCCGCAAGACCAAATGGAGAAGGAAATACATGGAGTCTATTGTGGAGAGGTTGGGCTACCACGACCTTATATGTGCAGACGCCAAAGGAAAGAGCAGTGGTTTGACTTTTATGTGGAAGATTTTTTGCGCAGTGGAGATTTTACAAGCCAACAGAAGAGTGATTGATGTGAAGGTAGTATGGCAGGACCAGACTTTCTTTCTGACCTTTGTTCATGGAGATCCAGTGAAATGTAAGAGAAGCGAGGTCTGGGAAAAAATAGCAAGAATTGTAGCGGAGAGAAGAGGAGCGTGGATGCTGACTGGTGACTTCAATGAGCTACTTGACCAATCCGAAAAGCAAGGGGGTGAAGTGAGAGCAGATAGGGAAGGTCAAGAATTCAAGCACTTATTGCTCAGCTGGGGTCTGTGGGACATAAAGTATAAGGGCAACTATTTTTCATGGGCGGGTAGAAAGAATAATGGTTTAGTCCAGTGTAGGTTGGATTGCTCATGTAGCAAAAGGTTGGATTGGTCATGTAGCAAACCAAAAGTGGTCAAACTTGTACCCGTAGGCAACTTGCTATTATTTAAAAATAATTTGCTCGGATCATAGTCCAGTTCTTACTTCTTTGGATGGTCATCAGATGAGGAAAATGAGTAATTTCAGGTATGACCATAAATGTGTGAGAAGAGAAGGTTTTGTATGTATTATACACAAAAGTTGGAAGTACCAAGGGAGTGGTCAAGCGAGTATCATGACCAAACTCTGCGATAAGGATCCAAGAACTGTATTTCAAAATCGATGAGTCATTCAAACATGAAAACTACAAGCATGAGGAACTTGAGAACCTAAAATAAGAGCTTAATGAGGAATACCTTAATGAAGAGACATGCCGGATGGAGAAGTAGATTAACTTGGCTGAGATCGGGCAATAAGAATACCAATTTTTGTCACGCAGTCAGCTTATTGGGTTCAGATGAATGTGATTGCTGTGGAGAAAGAGAAGCAAGAAGTGATACAACCGAGCTTGGATGGTATTTATCAACATATCTGGTATCTAGAAACAATCCCAAAAATAAAACACTTTCTGTGGAGGTGTCTTAGTAATGCCCTTCCGGTCGCAGACGCATAGGCATATAGCGGAAAATAGAAGGTGTAGAAGATGTGGCGATGAGGCTGAGAGTGTAAACCATCTACTTTTCCAATGTTCATATGCTCGTCTAATCTGGGCAGTGGAAAATGTTCACATCCCACCTTCAGGAACATGGTCAGATTCCTTTTATTCCAATCTTCATTGGGTCTTGAATCTGAAAAAAGTACTTAATGGAACACTTGGTAGCTGATCTAGTTCCATGGTTGATGTGGAGAATCTGGAAGAACCGTAATGAACTTATTTTAGAGGAACGGACTATCATATGAATGCTACAATTGAGAAGACAAGGGATGGTGGAAAGGAATGGAGAGCTAGAGAAGAGGTTAAAACTAATGTGGTGCAAAAGCCGACAATAGTTGAACCCGAGAAGAGATGAATCCCACCATCTTCATCACGTCTAACATGCAACACTGATGGTATATAGAAGCACTAAACTAGTGAAGGAGGCGTTGGTTGGGTGGTGAGAAATCATCTTGGAAATATGTTGTGGGCTGGGAGGAAGAGATTACCTGAGATGGGATCACTGCTTGAAACAAAGGAAAAAGTTTTGGGCGATTTATATTTTGGTCGGGTTTAGGTATACAAATGTAAATTTTGAAACATATTCTCAAGTGTTAACGAGGATGCCAAGTGGAGATGAAATCCATCATACAAGTAATAAGTACTTTATTATCGGAAAAGGAGAATGTGAAGTGGTTTACTACCTTAAAAATGGTAGTAAAATTGTCGAAAGAATAGTGTAGGAGACTGCTATGTTTATGTCCATTGTCCCTAAATTGTATTCTATTGTACTCTAGATGGTATGGTTAAGTACTTGTGTTAAGGTTGATGAGCCAATTGTATGAATTTGAATTGGTTAATAGGAAGTCGACGTTGAGTTAAAAAAAAAAAGAAAAAAAAAAGAGAGACTATTATCTTATATATTGCACTAAATTTTCGGTAGTGACGATAACACCCACACAAGCTACACAACAAGAGGGCAAAATCAAAGGTTACTTCAGTATTTTCAGGAATATTTCTATGTCTTTAGCTTTTCTCTGCCAAAAACTGTCGATAGATCGATCCTTCACACTGGTCCGCAAATTGAAAATCGAAGAGCTTCTCCCCAAAAGATAAGGGCACACACTGTAATTATCGATGGGTTCAATGGGCCAAAAGGTAAAATGGAGCTGGAGCTCAGCCTTAATCGGAGCAGCATCAGCGGCAGCAGCAACTTCTCTCCTCAGCGCCAAGCCAAAGGATCCAACTTTCCACCTCATCTCCATAGACCTAACCTCACTCAAACTCAACCTCCCTGTCCTTGACGCGGAACTAATGCTCACCGTACACGTCACAAACCCTAACATCGCAGCCATCCATTACTCCTCCACCACGATGTCGATTCTCTACGACGGCACGGTCCTTGGCACGGCGGAGGTCAAAGCTGGCTCGCAGCCGGCGAGATCGTGCCAGCTTCTCAGGTTACCGGCGCGTCTCGACGGGATGGAGCTTGCGCAACACGCGCGGAGGTTCTTTACCGACGTGGCGAAGAGGGAGATGAAGCTTGAGGCCAAGCTTTGTATCGAAGGAGCGGCGAAGGTTTTGTGGTGGGACCATAGTTTTAGGGTGCACGTGGATAGTTTTGTCACTGTTGATCCGGTCTTCCTTGATGTTATTAATCAAGAGAATACATCTCAGATGGATTTGTTTCTTGCTTAACTAAATGTTAATATGTTAAAGTACTGAAGTTTAATGATCACTAGATTTTGAGCTGCACGTTCTTACCGGTGTTTTAAAAAAATTATATTGTTGATTGTATACATTTTTATACTTACAATATTTAATATAGTTTTATAGTCTATATGCATTAATTTTATTAATTATTTTAAATTATCATTGTTTTGGTTGTATATAGAGAAAATGATTAAAATAGATTAAAATTTTTTTTTGTCACAAATATCAACCTAGCTTTGAATTAATTAATTATTTGACCAAAATATAGAAATTAGAATTAATTAATTAATTAAAGATAATTCAACGGCTGAGAGTAAGCTTGAATGGGTCTATGCATTGATTATTTAAGAAAGAACAGGGGCAAAGTATTAGGAGACTAAGAAGGTAAAATGATCAAGCTGTGTTTTTTTTTTTTGTAAGTTGGCTTTCTTAATAAAATGTAAAAGGATACAAAAGACATACAAGCACAAAAGCTTAAGTTTGTTTTGGGCCTAATCCAGTACTAAACCCTTTTAGAAACACATATTTTAAGAACTAAACCCCAGTGATTTTGTTTGTGAAGCCCAAGTAATGAAGAGGTGAAGTGAGACGGTGGGAAGTTTACGGAGTTAAAGAGAAGGAACTTTTCTTAGTTTTCTCCGTACGAAGACATGATCAAAGAAATCATGATCGAAGAAACCAGAGCTGTGTCATCGCAGAAGAGGCCCTGGGGTTTACATGACGAAAGCTCTGGAGTCGATTACGGATTTGTTTATCAATCAGTGAGATTATAGCTTATACTGGTCTGAAAGTTTGTTGATGAAGTCTTGTGTTTCGCTCTGACCAAATCCAGTAGATTGAGGCTTGGATAGCTAGTAACGTAAGGCGCCGAGAGTCACGATTCGTGTGGAGATTTTGTAGTTGAAGGACAATGTCATCCCAAGAGGTGATAGGCTGAATAGCACACCAATGCGCGATCCTCCTCCACACTGACGAGCTGTAACGACACTCAAAGAAAATGTGATTTCGACTTTCATGATCAGTATTGCAAAGCAGACAAAGAGGATTAACATTAAGGCCCCATCTGTTTAGTCTGTCTCTCGTAGGGCAACAATTCAGTAAGACTAGCCAGGTTAAGAAGCTGTGACGTGGGATGCCGTAGGAGAACCAGACGACATCAGCCCAGGGAACCAATGGCTGATGACCTTTAAGATAAGTATATATCTCACCCGTGTTATATCTCAGTTTCGATGTTCCATTAATCTCCCACTCATAATAGTCATCCTCATCAGTTAACACCACAGTTGTTAAGTGTACCTGCAATGCTAACTTGTTTTCTGTTCTTGCAGGTGGGAGATTCCAATGCCCCGCGGTGAAGAGGGAAGCTAAAGTTGCTGACTTTGAGATTCCCAGACGAGTGGAGCTCGCATTCAGAAAAGTGAAAAGGTTTCCCATAGGTGACCAGTTATCAAACCAAAACCGCGTTGATTCACCATTACCAATCCGCCGTTTTAGTAACGGGTACACGAGATCACTAGCCTTTATCATCTTGTTGACCAACCAGGAGTGATTAGGATTTGTTTTTATCGTCCAGTAGTTAGATATATCTCCTTTCAAGATCACCTCTTTGAACCAGCAGACCCACACCGAATTCAGACGAAAGAAAAGCATCCAGATAAGCTTCAGTAGACAAGCCATGTTCCATTTGTGAAGGTCTTTGACCCCAAGCCCCCCTTGATCTTTGGTAAGTGTTACTATCTCCCAGCTCACTCTCGCAGTACTTAATCTTAAGTTAGTTTGTACAGAGAATGCTTTCTTTAGAAGATGTTACATTAACTTTTAGTGATGCAATTTTATTGAATTTTCAAGTCACTCTTATGGCAAGTAATTTTCACTTAACTTTTTTATTTATGAAAACATTATAAAAACTACTTCTGACGTTAAACGAGGTTACAAAACTAGAAGAATAAGAACATATTGCCTATGTCTAACTAAAGCTTAAACATAGCCAACTATTTTACAATCAAACAAGGATATCAATTCATCATCTTCTTTCTCTTCTTACATATTGCCTAGATAACCAATTTAACCAATTTTAATACAATCTATATAATAATGATTCACTTTTGAAGCTCGTAAGGCTATCCACATCAGCAATCGAGTGGGTCCCGCGTATTTAAATTTTAAAAACTTATAGTTTTTTTTAAAATGACTATAAACAATGAATACACTTTAGCAAAGTGGTATAAGACATTTAATTAAGTCTGCAAGTGTGTGGGTTCAAATCACGCAGCTGTTATGTATTTTAATTTTTTCGTTTGGATAATTATCATATGGGCTTTTTAGTTTTAATGTTTTTATGTTTTTTTCCTCTGAACTTATTGTTTAAAGTCCAAAATAGTGGAAAAATCCTAAAGTTTGACGAACGCAAACCCAAAAACAATTAAAAATGGATCAAAAAACGAATATCTAAAAAAAAAAAGAAAAAAAAACGAGTCTCACGCGGCACTATCATGTCCTAATATATATTTTTACTATTAGAACATATTTCCTAATATATATTTTCAAAAAATTATGTATGTGAAATAAAATAAAATAAATAGTTTTGTTATTTATAAAATAACTATGTAATTTCTCTTCAATTTTTAATAGTTACTATAATTTCATTTTTATCAGACTCCGGCGGATGGATTTCCACAGTCGATGACGCCGTAAAGAAAAATACCACATTATTCATGAACAAAATCCAAACTTACAAAAAAACATATCCAAACCTATCTATTGAAACCCAAACAACAAATATTAGCTTAAATTAAAGTTATTTTCAAATTGATAAATCGTTTAGTATAAATATAAATATTATAAGTAAATATTTATATCAAGTTTTGACATCCGATATAAAAACTATTTCCAACATAAAAAAAAACAATATAGACATCTATTTTTATACACTAAAAACTATATTATTATTTAGTTATTACTATAAACCTTATTTCACATATAAGTAACATTTAACACATTATATATACAATATTTTCACTTTGCACTCTTGCTACATTCTTTCCATTTCATCATTATTTGATATTATTAAAATAACCCACTAAACCAACAACCGAAAAAATACAGATCCCGGCCCCGCGCTTGCGCGGGGTTATGCAGTGGTAATAATACTAGACCAAAGATACACGGGTAATAAAAATAAACTGTCTAATTCCTTTTTTCTTCTCAAAAACAAAATTAATTCACGTTGAATATTTCTAAGCCATCTTTTTTCATCTCCTATATAAATTAATCAACTTCCATCTCATTAGGTTTACTGAGTTTCTGTAGTAACTTCTTCTGCAAGAAATATTCAGTATCTCTATGATGATCAGAGGAATTTTCTAGCTCCAACTAGGTAGAGATCTCGATAACAATAGTGGTGATCAAAACAGAGTATTTGGGGACAAATACGGTTGATGATCAAAAACAAATACTGTTGATGATCAAAAACAAAAACTGCAAGAAATATTCAGTATCTCTATGATGATCAAAGTAACTTTCCTTTACAGTTTATGAAGAGGTGATCAAAAAAGAGTATTTGGGGACAAAGATTAAAATACTTTAAAATTTGGTTTTATATGGTCACAGATGGTCAGGTTCATACCTTTGACCAGTTGATTACTACTCTTACAAATCTGGTAATTACAAAAATATACGCAAGGCCTTAAGATCGTTTCCATCTTTTGGTCTGGATAACTAAATAACTCCATTATACAAAACTAAAATTGTTATTATAAAAGATACAAATGTCATAAGAGAAACAAACTTTTTGTATTGTGTTTATATTTTTAATAGTCACTGAAAATATGTCACTGAATTCTACCTTATAGAGTATTTGAATTGATTATTGTAAACTATGATTTTCTGGTAAGGAACCATGTTCACCCACTAACTTTTATTTTTTTACGCTACTACATGTAACCTCTCTACGTTGTCATAATTTTTGTTTCTGTAATTTATATCAGAGAAACATAAGTAACCGTTTCTTCTCTACGTTGCTGTAAACAAGCTTTATCATCAGTTTTACTCTTTTCTTTACACAGAAAAAAAACTTACCCCATCTCAGGTTTAGTTGCAGAAAATATGAAAACCAACCTACTTTCCTCACTTATTACAAACAAAAAACGCAAGATCATTGTGTCCACACCAAGAAAAAACTATGATCAATTTGGTAGCAGTCTACAAATCATCAGTCAAAGAGCATTTGAAGCGGCTGTTTACAAGCTATCCACACCTGTTAAATCTCCAGTACGTCTTTCATTGGCTGCGACAACACCTCCACCCAACAATGATCAAGATGGGAGTAGCTTACAAATCATTGATCGTAGTATCTTTGAAGCGGCAGGAACAAAAAAATCCCCAAAACTACTAAAGCTTCTGTAAGTTCTTCATGGCAACGTTCTATCTGTCTCGGAAAAGGTGCTCATGGTGTTGTTCACTTAGTCATACGAAATGTTTATGTGGAGGGTGATGCTTTGCCATTAAAAATCGCCATCAAAAGTGCACCTATATTATCTTCTTTCAGTATTCGAGATGAAGAACAGATTTTAAAAGATCTTTCATCTCCTCATGTTATAACTTTCTATGGTAGCAATATCACACCAGCTGAAACTCGACCCCTAGGGAGTGACTACAACTTGATCCTTGAGTATTGTTCTGGTGGCAGTATCTCAGATTTTCTCAAGTTCAGAGGAGTAGGGATGGCGGAGTCCGATGTTCAGCTATTTTCTCTACACATCCTCAAAGGTATCAACTATGTACAGTCAAAGAAAATCATCCACTGTGATATAAAACCGGCTAATATCTTCCTAAACCGGTTAATTTCTCATCTATGGTTGGTTGTTTAATGCCTAATGGATTTGAGCCAAAGCTTGCTGATTTTTGTTTGGCATTGAGAAAAACTTCAGATGAGTATGGAGATGGTTGTGGATTTGCAAGAGGGACACTATTGTACATGTCTCCTGAGCTTTTATTGAATGGAAATTTGGATTATTCTGTCGATATATGGGCGTATGGATGCACTCTTTTGCAAATGTTTACTGGGAAAAAGCCTTGGAGTGAGCTTGGCCACGTCGACATGAAGAAACTGAAAAATGTTTTTGGCAACATCAATGTCTTACCTGAGATACCCATGTGGTTATCTGATGATGCAAGAGACTTTTTAGGAAAATGCTTGGAAAAATATCCTCAAGAAAGGTATGATTCTATGAATTTGTTGAAACACAAATTTTTAGCTTCAATCTTTGACTACTCCTGCTAGAAAGAGAAGAAGGTACTGAAGGTGGAAGAAGTGAAGCCATGTATTAGGAGGAAGAGTTTTATGAAGATTTAAAGAATGTTGGTGTAGTGTCAATTTCAATATTATGTAAATTATGGCAATGTGTTTAGTTTTTTTTTTTTTATTGTAACAAATGCATTATGTAGCAATTTGTTCAATGTAATATATTGATTTTAAGTTAAACCTATTATTCTACACTTCTGTGTAATTTTAATATGTTTTAAAATTATGACATTTAAACATTAATAATTTCAAAATAAAAAGATTTGATATTTTAAATTTATTTTATTTAGAATTCTATAACATCTTTGAAAAGATTATAGTAACATTAATGGAAAAGATTAAATATTATATCTTAGTATAAAATATTATTGTATAGTGAACAAGTAATTCCCTATATGTAAAATAATGCTCAAGATTATAAATGATAAAATGATAACCACATGAAAGCGAATGTAATCTTAGTTAGTATTTTAATAGAGAAAATGATTAAAACAAAACCTAAATTTTTTTTTGTCACAAATATCAATCGAGCATTGAATTAATTAATTATTTGACCAAAATATAGAAATTAGAATTAATTAATTAATTAAAGATAATTCAACGGCTGATAGTACTCTAATGTTTTGCATTAAAAGAAAAAAAATCCTTCTTCTTTTCCAGATCCCCAGGTTTAGTATAAGAACCGTTGGATTAAAATTGAAGAAATGCAATGTGAACGGTTAACTTCATGGTTTGCCAGTAGCTGGTATATGAGTTCTTATATTAGGCAAACCGGCACAAACCGGAAAAGAAAAGTATTTGTGCTTTTTTAAGAATCTGTTTGGTCTCTATGGAGTCTCCAGCAGCAGCCAAGCAAGCAAGCAAGAGGTGCAGGACTCTTGTTCTCCCGTTGATCTCACTGCCGTTCTAGAGTATCTCGCCAGCCACTGAGGTGAATCTTAGATCTCATTTTTCTCTGTTTCTATTACTGTTGGATCCGGATTTGCATTCTTTACCGGAAATAAAAATTGGAGTTTGTAATTCTGATTTAAATCTATAGATATAATTTTCTATTTTCAGGGTTAAAATATCTTTCAAGAAGAAGATAATACACGACAACATAAATGTAAGATTCAGTTATAACAGTTATTGTAAATAAATTGAAAATTAATTTTCTCATCTTATAGGTTCTTATTTTTATATGCAGGGAAAATTAGAGGAAGACGACAATGTTTTGAAGACACATAAAAGGTATAAACACATTCCTAAACAAAAAGTGTTATATCTTTGTAATAGGATTAGAATAGGGTTAGAATTTGGTATAAGAGATGCATTCAATGTTTTCATGTTCACTATCAAAAACAAAAGTGTTATAGTTTTTGTATATTGGGATTAAATCAATAATGTTTTTTCGTCAATGAAATTAATGAGACACGTTTATAGAAAATGATCAGTTTATATAATGTATAAATTGTTTATCTATTATTAAATGTAGTTTTTTTTGGAGTGATTGTCATTCCTATAATCAGAAGGGGTTCTTGTTGTGTCTCCTAAGATTCTCATCTTGTACTGCTCCTTTGTAGGTCCATATATTTACCTTCTGCCCCAGTTATTGTGGCAGCCGTCGCTGTAAATGGCATTTCGTAGGGTTTTACTCTCTCACCTCCGCCGACCGTATGCTTCTCTCTCTCCTAACCATGTCTCCGCCCCGTCCCAGCCCCTCCGTCTTTTCCAATCCCGGCTATTATCAACTCCCACGGGCCTGGAATCGATCGGAGCTAGCCATGATATAGTGACCCGACATGTGGTCTCGTTGCTAGATTCTTACCATGACCTCACTGGATTGCCCTGGTAAAGACATAGCTTCTTGCTTTCTTGTTCAGACATAACTGTCAGAGCACACTTGTTTTGTTCCCTTGTTGGTTAATTTCTCTCAGATGAAACTGGCAGGTGGTTCGTGATTGCTTCCTCCACTGTGGCTTTTAGAACGGCTTTGCTTCCTGTCCTGATTTTGCAGCGCAAGCAAACAAGGACCATTTCCCAGTTCTTACCTAAGTGTGAGCGTCTTCTCTCTCTCCCTTCCTTGCAAAATTAAATTGGTTAGTTGCTAATTGTTTTGATAGTGGTTTTCTAGTACCGCCTTTTTGGCCTCCAAAGGGTTCAGGAAGGAGTGCTGTTGAACAGTTGATGCTCTTTCGTAATGAAAGAAAATCTCTCGGCTGCCCTTCCTTCTTGTGGATTCCTGCTTATTTCTCCATCCAGGTGATTGATGCTCAGATGGAAACTATACTTTTTCTTTTAGTGCAAAATAAGTTGTAGGCTTACTCCTTATTCTTGTTCCTGCAGATCTCATGTTTTTTCTTGTGGATAACTAGCATTAGAAGAATGTCACTAGATCATCATCCTGGCTTTGATACGGTAACTCGCCCCATACTGTTGACTATTGTTTTCTTGTCCTTCTATCTGTCATTTGGTCAGCGTACTTTGTTTCATTGCCTGCAGGGTGGGGCTTTATGGTTCCAAAATTTGACTGAAATTCCCAACGGTCTTTATGGTCCACTTTTCCCCTTTTTGATAGCTGGTTTGCATTACACAAACACTCAGGTAATTACTCTTATTTCTCTCATTGAATCACTTTACTTAAGTACGAACTATGCTACATCCCATCAGCTGGCTTAGATGTGAACTATACTTCCTTATATTTTCTGGATTTGATATACATTTTCTTGCAGATCGCTTTTGCAGCTTCTTCAGTTCACAAAGTTGATAAATTTGCGGAATTAGCAAAAGTGAGTTCTTACCTTTTGGTGAACTTTTTGGTCAGAGAAGTAACTGTCCTAGGACCATGTTAAAATACCAATTTCTCCCAATCGAGTGTTTCTTTTAGGCATGCTACTTGACAATTGATTGGTGCTTCTGTTTTCTTCTGCAGACTTACAAGATATTTTTGAACTTTTTGACATTTGCTCTTTATTTCCTTGCATTCCAAATGCCTCAGGTAAATTTATCTTTCTTACATATGCTCTTTTAAAGTTGACACATTCCTGTTTTCGGTTGTTAGTGTATTTTGGTACGTTTTCAGGTTCTGTAAAAAATTGCTGTTCGAACTAGACTATCTCCAGAGTCAAGTGTAGTTTCCATTTTGTTCCAGTTTCTTTCTAACGATTCAAAATTTGTATTTCTTCTTTGTTTCACAATTACTTCTCAGGGAAGTCTGCTTTACTGGTCCACCAATTTATCATTCAGCATAGCTCAGGTTTGTTCTAATGATTGCATTCTAAGATCTACTAAATCAGTTTGACTTTATGATGGTATCTTCCGGGAAATTATTGTTTATATCTATCGGGAAGTATTTCTTTAGACCAATAGAAAAAAAAAACGCGAGGAGTTCAATACTTTCTGTCTCGGATTCAGGCAAAACTTGAGATATTAGTTAAAACTCGTTAAGATTCATTTATTCGTGAAAATTGACCAGACCAAGAATTACTGAGGATGTTGTTAGTTTTGAATTCATGTAAACTAAAAACTGAATTAAAAGATAGGGAGGAATGACCCGCTTTTAACTTAACGATTTTATGTTGGCCCTAATCTACTGACATAGTATATAGTAATCAGTTACAAGTTACACTCTGTCTAGGGGAATTGGTCTTAAGCCGGTTTATAGAAAACGTACCTCTTATGAGCAATAGTATCTGATTTTCTTTCTTTGTTTTTATTGGTTCCAGTCTCTCCCCATTTACATTATTTAGTTACCCTTTGGATCTCTCATTTAGTGTATTGGCCTTGTAGCAATTAATAATCAAACATCCTGTTGTAAGTGCTAAGTTGGGTCTACAAGGAGATGACACTGTCCAGAAAGAGGCTGGAAACCCTATTTTAACAAATATAGAAGAAGCGAAACTCACTGATCCATCCTCGAAAGGACGTTTGATCTCGGGGCATGATTTAACCCCTAAGGAGCTGGTTGGTGTAAGTCAATGTCATAATTTAGGACGTTCTTAATAATAGTTAGCCTTCAACATCTTTGTTTCTAATGTTAGCAGCTTTTGACAACAGCTTTCTGCCAAATACTTATCTGGAGGGCAAAAGGAAAAATCAATTCCTCTATTAAGGTAAGTATGCCAGCTATGATTTCTTGTGACTATTCTTGGGAGACTTAGTTGTGTTTTTCTTTTCAGATTGGCATTAGAAAAAGATCCTGAATATCTTCAAGCTATGGTTATTCTTGGTCAGGCTTTATATCAGAAAGAACAATTCGCTCAAGCTGCACAATACTTAGAGCGGGCTGCTTCAAAGGTATGATCTTGATGCTCTGTGATCTCATTCTTACATATACATTTTATAAGAAATGGACTACTTGTTTGACTTAAACCGTATTAATCCGAGGTAATTATGTTCTTCTCAGCTTATTGATGCCTGTCCAACAACAGTTGAAGAAGTCGATCTTTTGATTGTTGCATCACAATGGGCTGGAGTCTCCAATATACGCCAGGTACATCATTCACGAGCTGCTTGTTTATCATCTATCTTTATATCTATATACGTTGATGTGAAGAAACTCAAAGAACACTCATGGCTTCAGGGGAAGACATCAGAGGGAATTACACACCTTGAAAGAGTAGCAAACATGGAAGAGCCTGATGATCCCAAGAGCAAAGCTCATTACTTAGACGCATTGGTGCTCTACTCAAGGTAAAAAGAAAAGAAAAGAAAAAAAATTATTCTTTGAGTCACAACTCTTTCTGTTTAATAGGTTTGTGTGTGCGCAGTGCTATTTTCAACGAAGGAAGGAGAGATGAAGCAGCAAAGTGCTTGAGAAGAGTGGTTGCATATGATCCATCGTTCCAAGAATTGTTGAAACAGTGCGAAGAAGAGGATGATAATACCATTCCCATTACCGATTCCACTTCTTCATCTAACTCTACACACAAAACTTCATAACTTTCTCTCACTTTTTGCTTTGTTTTTCCATCCCTTGCAGATTTTCAGAGGGGTTTCACCATATTTTTCGTGTTTAGTTGTCGCATTTGCTTTTCGAATGTGGGAAGCATATTTGCTTTTATTCTGTTAAAAATGAGTTCTACACGAATATAAGTTATTAGGAAAAATTGCATTGGCAAAATTTTGCACTTTAAACTTTGACATTCAACATTTAACCGTGTAAATAATAAAAGAGACATCAATAACATATTAAACATTGAAATTAGAGAAATTGTTTAGATTAACTCTAAATCATCTAAAAATTACTAGACTAACTCATATTTAATTTTAATTACTAAAGTACAATAAGGTATAAACAAAATTACTAAAAGGCCATTTCTGTTTGATTAACTACAAAATTACCACACATAAATAAATAAATAAATTGCCTAAATATATGTACAATAAAAACAAAATTTACAAAAAAAAAACTTTCATTGGTTCTTTCTCTCTCACGACCATCTCTCTCTTAAACGAGAGAGGTGAAAAATCTCTGATCAAGAACCGCCGTCTATCTCAACCGCCGTCGATATCTCCTCCGTCTCAGCCGCCGTCGACAGTATCTCCCTCTTATACGAGAGAGGTGAAGAATTTCCGATCAAGAGCCGCCATCTTCCTTATCCCACTCCGATAACAACTCCTCTGTCTTAGCTGTGTCGATATATCCTCCGTCACAGCCGCCGTCGACACCTTCTCTTCAAGTCTCCATCCTCAAACCCTAATCTCAATTTCATATGTAAGTGCTAAATCAATCTAATTCTCATTAGTCATTACACGTTTTTAACATATATTGTTGGATGAAGATGTTTAATTTCGAAAACCATAATTTCGATAATCCTATTTTTTTTTTTTGCTAATCAATCCATTTTTTCTTTTGTATTTTCGAGAACCCTAATTTTATTGTTAAATGAAAGTAAAACTGGATGCATTTTGTTTCGAAAACTCAGACAGTCTAGAGACTCAAACTTGTCAAATGCTTTTTTTCAGGTATGGAGTCTTCAGGAATGAGAAAGTATCCTCATCGTCTGTTTGAGGTTGGAAAAACCCCACTTCAGAATAGGAGCATGAACCATAATTATCATCTCTCCAACATTCAAAACGCCAGAGAAGAACTTGGGTAAGATGTTTGGTCTGAGTTGAAGGAATCAACTATTAGATTTATTGTGTAGCTGAAAGAGGTGAAGTATATTTGGTCTGCGAAACTTGTTCACCATTTCCTTGTCAATCAATTGGCAATCAAGAGCATTCATGATCTTTGATATTTGACAGATCGAATGCCATTGCGTTTCTCTTTGTATGAGTTTGGAGAGATTATAGGTCTTAATTATGATCCTTTCGACAAGGATGACGTTTGGGATGTGGATCATCAAGAGTTTTGGCGGGAGATGAACATTCCGACATCATATGGACCTACATTGCAAGAGTTAAAAGACATATTTCCGGTCGCAAGAAACTAGCCTCGAGAGAAGCGAGTGATGATTGGTTTGTTGTGTCTGCTATCCATTGGTATGTTTGGCGTTTCAAGCAACAGCAGAATTCCTTTGCATTGTGCTAAAAGGGTGATGGACACAGCAGCTTTCCAGCGATATCCATGGGGTCGTGTTAGATTTAGCAGCTTTGTTGACTCCATCAAAGTACTCGGATATGATGGAAAGCAGAGTTATACACTTCACGGCTGTATTCATTTGCTCCAAATATGGATTTATGAGTCTGTCCATGGCTTAAGAGAAATACATGGGAATCAAATAAAGGGAGCTTCTGTTCCTCTTCTGTCATGGGGCGGATGTCGTGCACGTGTTAACTTCTCAGAATTTTGTGTCACTACAAGAAAACTAAGTCTTTACTAGGAAACTTTACTAGGAAAATAATTGCTCGTAAAAATACTACGAGTTTACTTCGAGTTTACAAGGAAACCACTTTTCCTCGTAAAGTTCTCGTATACTTACGAGAAAGCAGTTTCCTCGTAAACTCGTAGTAGCCTTACGTGGCCCTTACGAGGAAAATAACTTTTTCCTCGTAAACTCATAGTAATTCATTTCCTCGTAAAGTCCTAGTAATAATTTACTACGAAATTAGGAGGAAAGGATTTATTACTACGAAATTAAGAGGAAATGGATAGAAAATATTGAATTTAAATCAAAAACGTGTTTTGTACCTACTTTTCCTAGCAATTTCCTAGTAAATTCTCAGTTTCAAAAATTTCTAATAAATACCACCATATGTGATTCATTTGAAACACACCAAAAAAAAAATCAGCTATAAGCTTGATCAAACACAAAAAAATGTCCGGTCCGGGAAATATTTTCGAGTTGTGGAAGTGGATGTATTCACACAGAGATACTAACGGGAGGGTGACGAAAGAATTTCTCGAAGGGTTGGAGACGTTTATGCATCAAGCAGATTCTACACCACTCACGCAGGAAAATGGTAAGATGTTCTGTCCTTGTCGGAAATGTTGCAATACCAAATTAGGCCCTCGTGAAAATGTTTGGAAGCATTTAATAAATAGAGGTTTCATGCCATATTATTATATTTGGTATCAACATGGAGAAGATGCTAGTTGTAGGAATGAAGGTAGCAGTAGTAATAGCAATTTTCAGATTGAACCGGTTGAGCATTTGCGTNAAACCGATCACAATCTACCTGAAAATTGTATGGATGCATGGACAGACTTGTTTAAAGAGTATTTGCCAGAAGACAATGTGTCTGCTGAATCTTATTATCAGATTCAGAAATTGGTATATAGTCTTGGGTTGCCCTCGGAGATGATAGACGTTTGCATCGACAACTGCATGATTTACTGGGGAGATGATGAGAAGTTAGAGAATGTCGATTTTGTAAGAAGCCACGATTCAAACCGCAAGGTCGAGGGCGTAATAGGTACCATACCAAAGGATGTGGTACCTACTAATCACAGACAGATTGAAAAGATTGTACCAATCTGAGGAGACTGCTGGAGGGATGAGATGGCACGCCGAGCATACTCAGACGAATGGAGAGATGACTCATCCATCAGATGCAAGAGCCTGAAAACATTTTAACAATGTACATCCACATTTCGCTAGCAATAGCCGGAATGTGTATCTTGGATTATGCACTGATGGATTTAGTCCATTTGGAATGTCTGGAGACAATATTCATTGTGGCCGGTCTTTCTTACACCGTATAACCTGCCACCAGAGTTGTGCATGCGACGAGAGTTTCTATTCATGAGCATATTAATACCTGGTCCAAAATATTCAAAAGATCTCTCGACGTTTTTCTACAACCACTGATAAAAGAGTTGAAAGATTTATGGTCAACATGGGTGAGGATATATGATTGTTCAACGAAAACAAACTTTACGATGCGAGCGACGCTTTTGTGGACCATAAGTGACTTTCCTGCATATGGTATGTTGTCTGGGTGGACTACACATGGGAGATTAGCTTGTCCATATTGTAATGGAATGACAGATGCGTTTCAGCTGAAGCATGGTAAGAAGACTAGTTGGTTCGATTGTCACCGTCGATTTGTTCCCATTCACCACCCATACCAAAGAAACAAGAAATTGTTCAGGCACAAAAGGGTTGTCAGAGACACTCCTCCATATTTAACTGGAGAACAAATCGAAGCGCAAATCGATTACTACTGTGTTCTAGAAACAGCTCCTCGTGGTGGGAATTGATTTGTTCCCAGTAATATGCCTGATTTTTATGGTGTTCAGCACAATTGGCACAAAAAGAGTATATTTTGGGAATTGCCATATTGGAAAGATCTTCTTTTGCGCCACAACCTCGATGTGATGCATATAGAGAAGAACTTTTTTGAGATCATGAACACTATATTGAATGTCCCAGGGAAGACGAAAGACAACGTAAAATCAAGGTTGGACTTACCCGATATCTGCTCAAGGAGTGAGCTACATATAAAAAGCAATTGGCAAGTTCCAGTTCCAATATTCAGACTGTCATCAGAAAAAAAGTCTGCGTTGTTCAACTGAGTGGCTTCAGAAGTGAAGTTCCCTGATGGGTATGTTTCAAATCTCTCAAAATGTGTTGAGAAAGGGCAAAAGTTCTCCGGGATGAAGAGTCATGATTGTCATGTCTTTATGCAGCGACTACTTCCCTTTGTGTTTGCGGAGCTACTACCGGCAAAATTACATGAAGCACTTTCAGGTAATTAATTAATATAATATGATGACATGATTAATTTATTTATATATATATATACATATATGTATACTAATGTGGATAATTTTTGTTTTCGTATATATAAGGAATTGGAGGATTTTTTAGGGATGTGAGCACCCGCACTCTTAAAGTGGAAGTTGTCCAACAACTTCATGAAAACATCCCCGTCGTAATCTGCAACTTGGAGAAAATATTCCCGCCTACTTTTTTCGACGTCATGGAACACCTAGTTGTCCACCTCCCGTATGAGGCATTACTTCGTGGACTCGTGCATTATGGATGGATGTATCAGTATGAAAGGGCCATGAAAACTTTGAAAGGAAAAGCCAAAAACCTAGCAAGAGTTGAAGGTTCTATTGTTGCGGGAAGTTTGACGGAAGAAACATCACATTTCACTTTGTACTACTTTGCACCGAAAGTACGTACAAGGAAACGAGCTCCAAGAAGATATGATGATGTTGGTGTCGTGCCGACATATATGGAAGACGATGTTCCAGACATCTTCTGTTAAATTGGGCGATTGGGTGGGAAATTGAAAGAGGTTTGGTGGTCGAGTGATGAAGACGTCCATAGTGCACACCTTTATATTCTTCTTAATTGCGAGCATCCATTGATTACTTATTTTGAAAGGTAAATATATAAACATACACACTTGTATACATATATATATATATATTTTCAATATTAAATATATAACATAACATTTATGATTTTACAGTCAATTTGAGACTCAAGTCGAGGAAGCAATACCTGGTATATCGACAACTGAGTTAGACAAAAGGAAAGATCAACACTTTATCAAGTGGTTGAGGAAACATGTATTTATTTATTACTTAAATTGTATGCATACATTACCACAAAGTAAGTCTAATGTCTAATTATTTTACTTTTTGTTGCAGGTTGA